ATATAGTGAGTTTCAGGACAGCTGGGGCTACAGAGAGACCCTGTCTCAAAAAGACAAAAAAACAAAACAAAACAAAAAACAATAGGGGCTGGAGAGATGGCTCAGTGGTTAAGAACACTAGCTTCTCTTACAGATGACCTGAATTTCATTCTCACATCTGGTGGCTCACAAATGTCTGTAACTCCAGTTCCAGAGGGTCCAATGTCCTCTTTTGGCCTCCATGGATACCTGCATTCACATGCATACATACATAATTAAAAATTATTATTATATATATATTTTTTAGTATTTTGAGACAGGGACTCCCTGTAGCCCCAGTTGGCCTGTAACTCACTATGTAGACCAGGCTAGCCTCACAGATGATCCACCTGCCTCTGCCTCCTGAGTGCTGGGATTAAAGGCATGCACCACCATGCCTTGCCTAAAAAATAAATATTTTTAAAGTTAAAAAAAAAGATTTATGGGCTTATGAGATGCCCCAGTGGGTAAAGGCCTGAGTTTGACCCTCAAGGACAACATGGTGAAGGAGGAGTAAACTCATACACGTTGTCCTCTGGCCTCAACATGTACACTGTGGCATGGCATTGCCACTATGCACTAAAGCTTTTAAAAAGTAAGGTGGGGTGAGTAGCAGGGCACAGTGGCACCAGCCTGTAATCCCAGCACTTGGGAGGTGGAGGAGGCAGGAAGATTGGGAGTTCAAGGTCATCCCTGTCTACATAGTGAGTTGGAAGCAAGCCTGGGCTACATGAGGCAGGGAGGAGGGTGGAGAAAAGGGGGAGAGTGAGAGAGAATGAATGAATTCTGGGGTGGAGACAAGTTTACAATCTAAATATTTAATGTGCATGAGGGTTTTGCCTGCATGGATGTCAGTGCACCACATGCATGCAAAGCCCATGGAGATTGGAGAAGGTTGGCTGGTCACCAATCACGGAAAGATTAGCCATGAGAGTCCGGGGAGGATCATGAAGCTCCCTCTTGACCAACCAGGGCTGCTTGCAGAACTCATGTATCTCATCCATGGAGCCTGCAGGCTTGGAACTGTCTCCACTGGCCCAGAAAAGGGGCAACGTCTCAGTACCTCGGACAGCGCCTCACACACCTCTACTGTTGCTGTCCATGTTGCTGATGCACTGATGCCTCAGGAGACTGTAGAAGGGTGCCCAGAGTAAGACAGAGGACTGGTAACCCTGACGACCATTGTGACAGCATGCCTTCTCTTTCCCCAACACCCAATACAAATAGATAACCCTTTTGTAGCGGGTACAAACTAAGCTCTTTAAAAGCTTTCCCAGCCTGGGAGTTAAACTCAATGAGAGGTCATTTGCTTAGTTTAAGAGGCTGTGGATTCCATCCTCAGCATTGCAATAAATGTTTGTGGTCAGGCATGGTGCTGCACTTGGAAGATGAAGAATTTAAAGGTTATTCTCAGTTTTATAGTGAGTTTGAGGCCAGCCTGGGCTACATGAAACCTTGTCTCAAAAATCAAACCTGAGGCAGGCATGGTGGCTCACGCCTGTAATCTCAGCACTTGGGAAGCAGAGGCAGGCTGATCTCTGTGAGTTCCAGGCCAGCCTGGTCTACATAGTGAGTTCCAGGCCAGCTGGGGCTATAGGGAGACCCTGTCTCAAAAAGATTTTAAAAGGCTGGGCATGGTGGCACACGCCTTTAATCCCAGCACTCGGGAGGCAGAGGCAGGCGGATCTCTGTGAGTTCAAGGCCAGCCTGGTCTACATAGTGATTTTCCAGGCCAGCTGGGGCTACAGAGAGACCCTGTTTCAAAAAGACCAAAAAAAATTTTTTTTAAATCAAAAGTAGTCAGGTGTGGTGGCACATGCCTTTAAATGCAGTACTCAGGAGGCAGAGGCAGAGGCCAGTGGATCTCTGTGAGATGGAGGCCAGTTTGGTCTTCAGACCAGGCCAGCTGAGGCTACAGGGAGACTGTCTCAAAAAACAAAAACGAGAGAAGTGCATGTTGCAAAGCCTGATGACTTAAGTTTGATCCCCAGAACACAAGTAAATGAGGATGGAGAGATGGCCCAGTGGTTAAGAGGACCCAAGTTTGATTTCCAGCACAAACTAACAACCATTCATAACTCCAGTTCCAGGGGTTCCAATGCCCTCTTCTGACCTTGGGCACTGCATGACACAGGTACACTTGCAGGCAGTTATGGGGAAGGAGAGAACCAACTAAACAAAATGACCTCTGACCTCCACATGCAAGCTGTGGCATGACAGCTTGCATTCCACCATCATGTGCACGTGCACACACACACACATGTGTACATACACACATTAGTACAATAATACTAATAAGTAATAAAAAAGTACAGAGCCGGGTGAGGTGGCACATCCCATTACTTGGAGGTGGAGGCAGGAGAATCAGGAGTTCAAAGACATCCTCAAGCTACACAGGGAATTCAAGATCAGCTTGGACTGAGATCTGTTCTCAGACCAAAATGTGTAAATGAATGAATGCATGCAAGATGAGCCTGACGGTACCTGGAGTCCCAGCACTCAGGAGGCTGAGTTAAGAGGCTGGACATTAGTTTGAGCCAGCCTGGGACACATAGGGTGTTTCAGGCCAGCCTGAATCAGACTGAGATGCTGATTCAAATAAATCAATAAATAAACAAACAAATGAGAGATTTGTTAGAAGAATGAGTAATCCTTTTAGCATGCCAGCGAATTCCAAGGCATAGGTCACCCCACAGTAGCTAGCTTTCCCCGACTCCTCCCTGATTACAAGTGTTCTACCCTCCTAGAAGCTTCTCTATAACAATCACCCTCTGTAAAGACAGGGAGACAGAATTCTTGCATGAGGGGGAAAACTGTGTTCTGGAGAGTTCTGTGGAATGACTGCCTCTTTGCTAAATGTCACTGAGCCTACATCTGTGAGCACCTACTGGGTGTCAGAGGCCATGCTGGGAGCTGGGGAATCAATCATCTGAGACTAATGCCATCAATAAATGCATCATGTTGGAAGTGGGGTTTGCTGTTGTTGTTGTTTTGGTCTTCTTGATTTTTTGAGACAGTCTCCCCCAGCTAACCTGAAACTCACTATGTAGACCAGGCTGACCTCAAACTCACAGAGATCCACCAACCTCTGTCTCCTGAGTGCTGGGATGGAAGTAGTGTTCTTTGAGTAGAGACAGAAGGTAATCTATTCAATGCTATGCATGGTGGCCCACACCTTTAGTCCTAGCACTGGGGGCAGGGGGAGAGGCAGGTGTATCTCTATGAGATCCAGGCCAGCTTGGTCTACACAGGGAGTGCCAGGCCAGCTATGGCTACCTGTCTCAAAGGGACCAAAAAAACCACAAACAAACAAAAAAAAAAACATTCGAGCCAGACACAGGTCCTAGAGTATCAGCTATTTGGGAAGCTAAGGCCGGGGCTCTCTTGAGCCCAGGAGTTTTGGGGTTAAGCATAGGCAATATCATGAAAATCCTTTTTCTTTCTTTCTTTCTTTCTTTTCTTTATTTTTTGGTTTTGGTTTTTTGAGACAGGGTCATCCAATGTAGTCCCAGGTGGCTTGGATCTCACTATGTAGACCAGACTAGCTTGGAACCCACAGAGATCCACCTGCCTCTGCCTCGAGAGTGCTGGGATTAAAGACCTGTGCCACCACCCCCAGCTTATTATTTTCATGAGTATGTGCATGTGCCTGCTAGAGTTTATGTGTACCATGTGTATATAGGAGCCTGTGGAGGCCAGTAGAGAGGGTGAGAGCTCCTGGAACTGGAGTTACAGATGATTGTGGGTGCTAGGAACTGACCCTGGGTCCTCTATAATGAAAGCAAGTGTTCTTAAGTGCCGAACCATGTTTCCAGTTCTAAGCTTTTATAAGATTTATTTTTATTTTACGTTTGAGTGTTTTGCTTGCATATATGTAAGTGCACCGTATGTGGGCAATGCCCACGGAGGCCAGAAGAGGGCATCAGATCCCCTGGAACTGGAGTTACAGATGGTTGTTAGCTGCCATGTGGGTGCTGGAAACTGAACCCAGGTTCTCTGCAAGAGCAACTAGTGCTCTTAATTGCTGAGATAGCTCTCCAGATAGTTCTCTGCATACTTGTATTCAAGTATGTCCATGGGTAGGTAGGGATGTGTGTGTGTGTGTGTGTGTGTGTGTGTGTGTGTGTGTGTGATGGACAGAATGTGGAATGTGAATGTGGGACAGTGTGTATGGGCAACTTTGTATCAGATAAAGTTGAGCTGTGACTGTGGGGTAATTGGAAATGGAATATATGCAGAAACACTGATGTGGGTGTGTGCTCGGGGTGCCCAGCTGTGTGTGGGGGCGTGCTGGGGGATGTTTTCCGTCCCCAGAGGGAGAGAGAAAGCTCAGGAAATCACAGTTCTGCCTTGCCTCTGGGTCTCCAGGCAACAGTACCACTTTGAAATTACCAGGAGACAAGGTTGCCAGGGTAACAGGGGCTTGAGTGATGCTCTGGAGCAATGTCTGGGCTGAACAATCAAGATCACTCACCTTGGTTCTTATCAATATTACCTTCCTTCATTCATTGATTTAACAAGAATATATCTGAGTATCTCCAGTGCATTAAGCAGAATTCTGTGCCCTGGAGAGACAGAAGTGAAGGAACCAGCCGAGGTCCCTGCATATTTCATACTCTGTCAGCACTGCTTGGTCTCACCAACCTCTTTCTTTGGCTTCTGTTCTCTCTTCCCTCCACACAAGCAAGCATGAAGAAGGGTCCAGGCCAAAGAGGAAGTAAGATGTGAGCCCTCTTCAAACAGCCTCATGGAGGGAACTTCGAGGATGACTCATCCATCCTGTAAAGCACTGTCATACAAGCCTGAGGAATGGAGTTCAGAACTTCAGAACCTATATAAAAGCTGAGCACAAGACAGGGTGTGGTGGCCCACGCCTTTAATCCTAGCACTCTGGAGGCAGAGTGAGATTGAGGCCAGCCTCGTCTACATAGCAAGTTCTAGGTCAGCCAGGGATAGATAGAATGAGACCCTGACTCAAAAGACAAACAAAACAAAATGTTGAACACAGGAGTATGGGTCTGTCATGCCAGCTTTCCTACCAGGAGACAGGAGAGGAGAACTCCCTCAAATTCTCATGCCAGTCACCTTGGTGTACACAGGGTGAACAAGACACCTGCTTACACAAACTGGAGGAACAGGACCAACAGCTGAGGCCGTCCTCTCAGTCCTACACATACAGTGTCATTTGAGTCCCCGTTCCCCCCGCCCCCGCCCGGTGGCTACACACAAAGATTTTTGTTGTGTGTGTCTTTTTCAGACAGGGTCTCCCTGTAGCCCCAGCTGGCCTGGAACTTGTGATATAGAGCAGCCTGGCTTCAATCATACAGAGATCTATCTACTTCTGCCTCCCAAATTTTGGGATCAAAGATGTGCACCACTACATCTACCTTTATTTTGTTTTGTTTTAAGACAGGGTCTCAGTTAGTAGCCCTGGCTGGCCTGGAACTCACTATGTAGAGCAGGGTGGCCTCCCAGTGCTAGGATTAAGGGCATGCCCCACCACACCCACTTGCAGTAAATACTCTTAACCACTGAACTATGTCTCTAGTCCAAAAGATGTTTTATAAATCAAAACAAAAATCAGTGATATGGCTCAGAGGGTAAAGGCACTTGCCATCATGTCTGAAGACTCAGGAACCCACATGGTAGAAGGCAGAATTGCCTCCAACAAATTGTCCTCTGACATCCATATGCATGCATACACACACACACACACACACACACACACACACACACACACACACAGAGTAAATGAATGTAAAATTTCCCTCATAGAGGGCAAGAGATGTGGTTCAGTTCATAGAATGTAAACATACACAAAACCCTGGGCTTGATTCCCAAAATTGCATAAGCCTGGTTAAGTAATCTTAACCACTAAGCTATATCTCCAGCCCCTGCAAGGTTAATTAAAAATCATTTGTCCAGATTCTGCCCATCTTATAAAAGTCATTCCCACACACAGAAGCCCATCTATGAGTCCTGAGCTAAGTCTGTAACACATATAAATACAAGCCTAGCCAGGCGTGGTGGCGCAGGCCTTTAATCCCAGCACTTGGGAGGCAGAGGCAGGCGGGTCTCTGTGAGTTCAAGGCCAGCCTGGTCTACATAGTGAGTTCCAGGACAGCTGGGGATACAGGGAGACCCTGTCTCGAAAAGACTCCCCTCCAAAAAAAATACAAGCCTATAATCAGGCATGCAGAGAGAAGCAAATAATAACCTCTCTGCCTGTGAACTGTCCTTGGGTAATCAGCAAATATCCACACAGACAGGAGGCACACTGACACATTGCAATGACTACAAGGATCATAAGACCCATTTTTCAGATGCGCAAACTGAGGCTGAGTCCCTTTTTTAAAAAAATTATTTTATTTAGTATTTTTATTTTATGAGTATATTGGTTGCATGTATGTGAGTGCACCTGTGTGGTGCAATGCCTCGGAGGTCAGAAGAGGGAGTTGGAGTCCCCTGAAACTGGAGTTATTGCTGGAAATCAAACCCAGGTCCTCTACAAGAGCAGTCAGTGCTCTTAACTGCTGAGCCATCTCTCCAGCCCCAAGAGTCCCTTTTAAAAAAAAAGACTGATTGTCGGGCATGGTAGTGCACACCTTTAATCCCAGCACTTGGGAGGCAGAGGCAGGCAGCTCGCTGTCAAAAGCAAGTTCCAGGCCAGCTGGGGCTACAGGGAGACCCTGTCTCAAAAAGACAAAACAAAACAACAACAACAACAACAACAACAACAATAAAACCTGTCATGTAGCCCAGGCTGGCCACAGACTCATTATGTTGCCCAGGGTGACTCTGAACTTATGTCCTCCTGCCTCCACCTTCCCAGTGCCAGGATGACAGCCAGGACCACTATACCCAGCTTATGCAGCACTGGGGATAGAACACAGAGCTTTGTGCATGCTGAGTGAGAGCTCTACCCACTGAGCTACAACCCCAGTTCTCCAGTCTAAGTGTCTTTGTAACATGTCAATGATTTGGGCCCCCTCTAGGCCTTAACCTTTATATTTGTCTAATGGGCTCACTATGTCACAATAATAGCCAGGTGTGGGGCTGTACACCTTTAATACCAGCACTCATGAGACAGAGGCACGTGGATCTCTGTGAGTTTGAGACAAGCCTGGTCTATTTAGTGAGTTCCAGTCCACCTGGGTCAAATACTGAGCGCCTGTCTCAAAAAGAAAAGAAAATAATTCAAATAGTTGGTCTGGAGAAGATGGCTGGGTGGTTAAGAGCACTGGCTGCTCTTGCAGAAGACCTGGGTTTGGTTCCCAGCACCTGGTGGCTAACAATCACCTGTAACTCCAGTTCCATGGAGTCTGATACCTTTCTTCTGGACTCTGTTGGCATTTCATGCAGGCAAAACACTCATACACACAAAATAAAAAAATATCAAGGCATGGCGATGCACGCCTTTAATCCCAGCGTTCACGAGGCAGAGGCAAGAGGATCTCCGCGAGATAGAGGCCAGCCTGGTCCACATAGTGAGTTCCAGGAACAGGGAGATCTTGTCTCAAAGAAATAAAATATAAATAATTTTTTTTTTAAAGTCACAACAATAGTATACATGCTACGTCCCCCAGCAGAATCCTTCACGGTAAAGTGAGCACCTGTTTCCTCCATTTGCTGGCGTAGGGGCTCACAAAGCTATCGTTGACCGACAGCTCCAGAGACCAACGGAGAAACTGGATACTGTAGCCAGCCTATGAGACCTCAGTGTGGGCGGACCTAAGAGACAAGCACGATCCTGATTGGGCAGACCTGCTTCGCTAAATGGCGGAGACACTGAGGCGGGTGCTGAGTGGCGGTAACGCGGCTGGGACCGGAGAGGACACCACGGCCGAGTCGGGGCCACCTGTGCTGCTGCTCGGCGCCCAGGGCTCCGGGAAGACGTCCCTAATGTTCGCGACCGCGCTGGAAGCGGCGGGAGAAGGCTGCGGGCCTGTCCTCTTCCTGACCCGGAGGCCGCTTCAGAGGCTACCGCGCAGTACACGAGCAGCACGCGAGCCGTTAAGGCTGCAGGTAACTGTGGGGCAAGACCTACGGCGTGTCATCCAGTGGTGGCGGAAATGACTCATGAGTGACAGGTGGGCGCGGAAATGAATGGCATGTCGGCCTACCAATGAGGACGCGAAGCATAGATGGCTGACTGCTCACCAGGCCAATCAGGTGGTGGTGAGGCGGATCCATGTTGAATGACACACGCGTTGTAAAACCACCCAGAGATGTGTTGACGTGACGGACTTGAGACCGTACCCCGCCCCCCCAATATTTTTAGCTTAAATAATTCTCAGCAGTGATAAGTGCTAAAAAAGAGTGCTAAAAAATCTGCTACTTCACTCTGGAGCTTTCTGTCCCAGGCCTAAAAACCTCCCTCAAGCATGCAGCCATTTCATGGAGTCTTGGCCTCCTATACTGAATCTAGTTTTTTCCTTCTTTTCCAATATTCTAGAAGGTTCGATTCCAGTACCCACCCTCAACTCTTGAGCTTCTCCAACTGCTAGCCTCCACCCATGAGGTCCCAGGGCCTGCCCCCTGCCTTTTGCTGCTGGACGGCCTAGAAGAGTACCTAGCAGAAGATCCCGGGACCCAGGAAGCCGCCTACTTGGCTGCACTGCTTCTAGATACTGCAGCCTACTTCAGCCACCGACTGGGATCCAATCGAAGCTGCGGGCTCATGGTAGCCCTTGAGACCCAAGTAGAAGCAGATGGTGCTGATGCCCCACAGCTGACTTTGCTTCAAAGGTATTTTCCTGCCAAATGTTGGCTGCAGCCAGAGGCACCAGGTCTGGGACAGCAAGGCTGCTTCCGAGCCTGCCTAGAGTTAGGCACGCCGGGCCCCAGAGCAGAGTGGACATTTAAGTTCTTTCCCGATGGAGAGATGAAGATCACCCCATGGCCCACCCAGCCTACAAGCCCCAGCCCAGACAAGAAGAGTTCAAGTGCTGGAGGCCAGTCCTTAACCTCAGTATGTGACAATGTCTCTGGGCAGTTTCCTGGGCCTGGAACTGCAGGACAAGTGCATATGCAAAGACCTAAAGAATAGAAAGTGGTTTTTCTCTTTAGAAATTAGCATTGTTGGGGGCCAGTGAGAGGGGTCAGTGGGTAAAGGTGCTTGCTACCAAGCCTGATGCAAATTTGATCCGCAGGACCTACATGGTGCAGGGAGAGAACCAGCTCCCACAGCGTGTCATCTGATCTCCATACTGGGGCACTGAAACACGTTCACACACTAATAATAACAGTAAATAAAATAAAATTTAGAATAGATATATTCATCTGTGGCTGCCTCTTTTTTTTAAAAAAAAATTTATTTTATGTGTATGCGTGTATTGCCTGCATACAGGTACGTGCGCCTGTGTTGTGCAATGCCCTCAGAGGTCAGAAGAGGCTGTCGGATCCCCTGGGACTGGAGTTACAGATGGACAGTTGTTAGCTGCCATGGGCATGCTGGGATTTGAACCCAGGTCTTCTGCAAGAACAACCAGTGTTCTTAACCACTGAGCCATCTCTCCAGCACCAATATGAGCATTTCCCTGTATATATGTAATATGCATGCAATGTCTGCAGAGATCAGAAGAGGGTGTTGGATCCCCTGGAACTGTAGTTACAGAGGTTGTTAATGTTGTGCTACAAGAGCAGCCAGTGCTCTTAACTGATGAGTCAGCAGCCAGTGCTCTTAACTGATGAGTCAGCTCTCCAACTTCCTCCCTTTTTTTTTTTTAAATTGAGACAGGGTCTCACTATGTAGTCCTGTCTGGCCTAGAACTCCCCATATCAACCATGATAGCCTGGAACTCACAGAGATCCACCTACCTCTGCCTCCCAAGAGTGCTAGGACTAAATAAAGGTATGGACAAGGACATCCAATTAAGAAAAAGGTTTTTTTGTCTTTTTGAAGCAGGGTCTCCCTGTAGCCGCAGCTGTTCTGGAACTCACCATGTAGACCAGGCTGGCCTTGAACTCACAGAGATCCGCCTGCCTCTGCCTCCCAAGTGCCACCACGCCCAGCTAAGAAAAACTTAAAAAGTGATTAAACTGGCCAAGTGTGATGGCATTTGCATTTAATCTCTGCACTCAGGAGGCAGAGGCAGATGGATCTCTGTGAGTTAAAGGCCAGCCTAGTGAGTTGGAGGCCAGTTGGGGTTACAGGGAGACCCTGTCTCAAAACAAAACACCCTGCTAGAGAGATGGCTCAGTGGTTAAGCATGCTTACTATTCTTGCAGAGGGACTGATTTGGTTCTCAGTACCCACAATGAGCAGCCCAGAACCACCTATAATTACAATTTCCTTGGGTCTGACACCTTCTTATAGCCTTTGTGGGCATCTAACTCACATGCACAGAATTAAAAAATAAAATAGAAAATAAAAAAGAAAGCTGTAATCCCCGCACATGGGAATTGGAACAGGAAGATCAGGAGATGGAGGCCAGCCTGGGCTACATGAGACCGTATCTCAAAAAATAATAAAATAGGGGCTGGAGAGCTGGCTCAGTAGTTAAGAGCACTGGCTGCTCTTGCAGAGGACCTGGGTTCATTCCCAGCACCCACATGGCAACTGTCTATAACTCCACTTTCAGGGGATCCAGTGCCCTACTCTGCCCTCTCACGCGTACAAATGTGGTACACTTACATACATGTAGGTAAAGCACTCATACACAAAATAAAATGAAAAAAAGAAAAAGTAAATGTAGACTTACTGCTGCGTCACATGTCGGGCTTGTCATAGTGCTTTCTTAAAACATGACCTACTTAAGCCAGGCATGGTGGCACACGCTTGTAGTCCCAGCACTTAGGAGGCAGAGGCAGGCAGATCTCTGTGAGTTCAAGGCCAGCCTCGTCTACATAGTTCCAGGACAGCTGGGGCTACAGGGAGATCCTGTCACAAAAAGACCAAAAACACAAACAAAAAACCCCTCAAAACAAAACATGACCTTCTTCAGAAGGGAGGTTGACTTACTGTTGTTAGTAGCTGAGATTGAAAGAATAAATCACTTGCCTGTGTGCACAGCTGAACTACATTTCCCAGCATCCCCTGGTTCTAGCTAGAGTCCTGCGATGTGACTGCTTCTAGCCAACAGTGAAAGATCCAAAAGACCGGGGTTCAAATCCCAGTACCCACATGGCAGCTAACAGTCCATGACTCCAGTTCCAGGGGATTCAACAGCCTCTTCTGTCCTCCTCAGGCATTGCATGACATGGGTGCACTTACCTACATGCAGGCAATACACGCATACACATAAAAAAATAAAATAATGAATAAAATAAAAAGAAAGGAAAGATAGAGCATGTTTTCAGGTGAGATCCCTAAAATGGCCAGTGGGATCCTCTGTATCCTGCAGGGACATCCCAGAGGATTCAACCCAAGATGACCTTGAGGGGAGATGAAGCTGCAGACAGACTAGAGTATACATCTGACTCTTCTCAGGCTTGCAGTTGAGAAACTGCTTAGTGGGTGTTGTGCAGAAATTTCCTCACAGACAGTCTGTCCTGTAAGGAAGCTCCTTAAGATACAGGATCTGGGGCTGGAGAGCTGGCTTGGCAGTTAAGAGCACTGGCTACTCTTGCTGAGGATCAGGTTTGGTTCCCAGCATCCACAGGGAGGCTAACAACCATCTGTAACTCTAGACCAGACTCCCTCTTCTGACCTTAGAGGGCATTGTACACATGTGGTACACTTACATATACATAGGTAAAACACATAAAACTCATATGCATAAAATAAAAAACATTTTTTAAAAAACAAGTCATGGTAGGAAAATCGATACATATATATTTGTATATACAGAAAGATAACTGTACATCCTCAAAAATATTCCAAGGTTGTAACTTTCTGAGAAGGATGGACTGGATAGAGAGCTGAGGTTAGCTGTGCTCTTCTTACCTGTGAGTGTGGCTTCACCAGCCCTGTTCAGAAAGTCCTGAGCTTGGGGTCCTCTTGGATCCCCAGGCTTTTTCAGGCTGAAGTCCTTACAGCAGACCATGTGGGCAGAGGCTCTGGGGCTGGGACAGGCTGTTCTCATAAGGGTGAGAGAAGGGGCCATTGGATGAGTCCCCATGGACTCCCTGGGAGCCTCCTGAACTGTAATCTGTTGAGATGCCTGAATCAGATACCACGAGGTACAGGTACTTTAGGTGAGGAGGGGTGGGAGGTAGCTGAGGGGGCAGTGCCCGAGGGCGCAAGAGCTGAGAGCTGGAGTCTAGGATGGTATACTCAAAGCTGGAAGGTGAGGTATCCTCTGGCCTAGGCTTCAAGGCCAAGTCAGAGGAGCAGGAAGATGCTCTGGAGCTTTCATCCACAGCCACTGGACCCACAGTGTCCCCAGGTCCTGAGAGGTCCTTGCTGCCTGGGCTCCGAGGCAGTAACCACTCATCCAACACCAGGTAGGTGTCCTGGGCTTGCTCACTGTCCACTGGCTCCAGCAAGGGCCCCTCATCATCCATGTCAGGCCTGGAGGCCTGGGTGATCCCCCAACAGCACTCCGAGAGGACTTCCAGTCGGGCTGGTGGGTCCTCAGAGAAAGGGGTCCATGGGCTCCACCACAAACAACCATCATGCTGCAACAGCCACAGCTGAAAAGACAGTACCCACATGATCAAAGGCCTGGGCATGGGCCAGCAGGCCAGTCCCAGGTACCAGGAAGATTGACCAGCTCACCTACCTGAAAGTTACCCTTGTGGGTGGTGAAGAGACCCTCAAATTCGCTCTCTGGGCTTGGGATGCCAGGCCAAATCTTCTGCTTCAGGCTCCTGTTGAGGTCATTAGAAACAAGTTCATGGACACGAGGGACTGGACACTCATCAGGGTCCTCTCAGAACCCCCATTCAGACACCAACGCTCCTGGAAGATTGGAAAACAGGCTGCCCAGGAAACTCCCGAAAGGCCCTACCAAAGGGTAACCGGAATAGTTTTGAGAGATGCATAGAGTTTAAAACATGCTGCCTCATATCCTTCATCACTGTTTTCCATAGGTACGAAGTACATTCATAAAATCCAGGGCTGGAGATGTAGTACAGTATTGAGCACTTTCAAGGCTATGGGTGGGATTCCAAGCACCAGCAAAATAATAAAGTAAAATAATAAGTAAAACAATAAATAACAAAAATTTTAAAGGAGTAAAATAAAATTTTAAAATAGGATTAAAATGGTAAAATAGAATAAAATAATAAAATAGTAAATTTAAATTAAAAACTAAATTAGCTGCTGGATGTGGTGGTGCACACCTTTAATTCCAGCACGTGGGAGGCAGAGGCTGGCAGATCTCTGTGAAATGGAGGCCAGCCTGGCTACAAAGCGAGTTCCAGGCCAGCTGGCTACAGGGAGATCTTGTCTCAAACAAAAACGAAAACAAAAATAAACTAAAGTAACAAGATAAAATAGTAAAGTAAAATAAATGTAAAAGATAAAAATTAAATAATATAAAATTAAACAAGAAAATAATTATAAATAACATAATAAATAAAATAAAATGAAATTTAAAAATAGTGCATGTGTGTCTGTGTCTGTGTCTGTGTTTATTTTCCAACCAAATAATGCACAGGGTCACAAAAGACAAGCAGGATCTGTACTTTATGGATAAAGTAGTAAAGGCATTTCAAGCAGAAGGATATAGTGTGAAAAGCTTTGTGTACACTGGGAACTAGAAATACCTCAGCCGGGCTAGGCAGATCATTAAAACAGCTGGGCTTAAATAGTTTCCATTAAACTATGGGGTTGATTTGACAAAGTTAAGGACCCTGGGGAAAGGAACTAGCAAAGGGATCTAGGAAAGAGTAGCTATTTGAAGTAAAAGAACCCCAGCAGGCCCACATGAACAGAAAAGTCTAGAGTCTAGTGTCTACTCGCACTTGCATTCCAAGTGACCCTCCACGCTGCGTGACTTTGGGCCAGTGCTAGCCCTCTCTGAGCCTAGCTTTCCCTAGTGAAAAGCTAGGGCGGGGGGATTCCGAGGAGGATCTGGGTTAGATGCTCGTATTGGGGGCTCACCGGCGGTTGGAGAGCAGAGCCAGCACTATCAGCAGCATCGCGATGAGGACCAGGATGACAGCCAGCGTCAGGATTAGCGGGTCCAGGTCTAGGAGGCAGGAAGGCGGTCAGGGAGGAGATGGTTTGTGGGATGTTCCGCCCAGCTTCACCCGTTCTGGGAGCCTCACCAGTAGTGGTCAGCAGCGACGCGGGCTCAGACCAAGCGCTCCAGAAACCGCTGAAACTGGGCTCTGCCATGCGTGCGCGCACTGAGAAGGTGTAGCGCGTACCGCCCCGCAGGTTGCTCAGAACACACTCTGTGCGGCCTTCCAGGATCTCCACCTGGGGCGGAGCCCGAGGAAGGGCAGGTACGGCAGGGTTACTTGGGGGAGGGGCCAAGAGATCCAGCCAATTAGCACCCAAAGAGAGCTTACCTCCATCAACACCCAGGTAGCTGGGGACGCCCTGGAGAGATCTAGCCAATCAGCACTCAACAATGAGATCAAAGGATAGGACCCCCCCATAACCAAGAGGGGTTCTGGCAATATAAAGGTGAAGGCAGACAGGCTACTCAGAGAGCCTCTGCTCTGGGGCCTAAAGATCTGAACTAGGCCTTGAGAGCGTCAGTGGGCTTACGTAAAGCAATCTTGACCATCAATGGTGTGAGTGGGCCCAAGGGCTCAAAAGATGGCTCAGCAAGTAAAGGAGCCTGTCTCCAAGCCTAAAGACCTGTTTGATCCCCAGGACCCACATGGTGGAAGTTGAGAACAACTCACTTAAGTTGTACTCTGACCTCCCGTTGACCCACATACATACACACACATAAACACACAACCCTGCCAACACATAATAAATAAATGAAATTTAAAAAATGTTTTTTGGTCTTTTTTGAGACAGGATCTCCCTGTAGCCCCAGCTGGCCTGGAACTCACTATGTAAACCAGGCTGACCTTGAACCCACAGAGATCTATCTGCCTGCCTCTGCCTCCCAAATGCTGGGATTAAAGGCGTGCCACAATGCCCAGTGAAATTAAAAAAAAATTTAAATGGCAGAAAAAGCCAGATGTGATGGTGTCACACCTTTTATCTCACCACTCAGGAGGCTGAGGCAGGTGGATCTCTGAGAGATCCAGCCTGGTGTACAGAGTTCCAGGTCAGCCTGCACTACAGGGAGACCTTTTCCAAAATAATAAAATAATAATAATAATAAAATAATTAGTAAATAGGATGTTGGGCACCAGGGGAGGGAACTGAACTGGGACACTGGAAAAGGCTGGGATGACCATCTAGGCCAGATTTAAGGAGGCCGGGTGGGTGGTCTTCCGGGAGTCTTACCCTCTGCACTCCCCCTGCACCGTTGCCTGCGGACACATCCACCTCATATCGGATATGGGTGGTCATCGGTGCCCCAGGAGGTGGCAGCCAGCGCAGCACCACGTGGCTGCCTTCCTCAGCCCGTCGTGCCAGCAGCCCTGTGGGGGCGTCCAAGAGCACTGCCAAAAGCAAAGTGAGGTGGATCAGACGGAGGAAGCCTGAGTTTTCGAGCCCCTACCCCATGTCTCTCCATTCCCCTGGAACCTACCTACTTCATTGATGTGGATGATACGGTGATAGCGCAGAGTCCCGGAGGTGGCTATGACTCGCAGTTCCAGGGGCACGAAGCTTGATGTGTCTGCGGTAGGCAGTGAGCACCAGAAACGCACTGTACCGCGGGTTGTAGGCGCCTGGTGCAGGCCACACGACTTTCGTGATTCACCCCTGTGTGCCCAGGCACCCGAGAAGAAAAGGTTGAACACTTGGCAAGGCGGGAGGTGCCTGAAGAGTGTCTGATCTCTCTCTCTCTCTCTCTCTCTCTCTCTCTTTTTTCCCAGACGTTATTCAGTTCTAGTGCACTGTAGAGAGACTGGCCCAATCCTATTGGCTCAGGCTGCATTCCCAGGGGTAATCACAAGAACATTGCTGCCCCACCCACCAACGGATGCCGAAGCTCCAGTGCAAGTGATGCCTGAGCCCAGCGATGAAGAGTTGATCCAGCCCCGGCCACCAGGGGGCGCCCCAGCTCCAATACCTTGATGCCTGAGCCCAGTGATGGAGAGGGATTGTTTCTGCCCCAGCCACCAGGTTCCACTCATCCCGTTCATTAGCCACCCTTAACCATCCGTCAGGCCGCAGGGACAGCTCTGTGACTTCCAGGAAGCTCTGGCCCGCCCTCTCCCCCACGTTGGGGCACTAGTTTTGGAGGACTCACTCGAGCTGGTAAGTGAAGCTGTAGTTGGAGCCCACTGCTTCCTCCCAGAAACAGACCAAGTCCTCCAATCGCTCTGTGAAGCACATAAGTTCTTCCGAGCCACGGGATGCCAGCATGGCCGCTAGGGAGAGAAGTGGCCATGGCAGAATTCGGGGGTGGGCGAGGGGCGGAATAAGGGACTCTGGCCACAGTCCTCCTTCCTGTTCCTGTGCAGGCCCGGTAACTTTTTTAATGCCCCGCCCTCTTCTCCAGTGGGGCCTTCGAGGGAGTCTTGCAGAAGTGGTGCCCCTAGAACTCCCAAGAGTAGGTGGCGCCTACCTGTCTCCCCGCACCCACGGCCACTCACCGCGCAGCTAGCTGAGCTGAGCCCAGCCCGCCCCAGCCCGGGACGTGCACGTCCAGTGGGTGGGTGTGTGAGAAGAGGACATGGCCTCCTATCTGTCCCTGCAGGCTGCTGGTGGCCTCCGATAACAACAGCCAACTGTATTCCCCACCCCCTTCCTCCTCCCAGCAATACAAGGGATCCTGGCCCACCAAACCGTGTTCAGTCTTCAGCCCTGCTTTACTCCTGTTCTCCCAATGAAGGGTCACCATGTGTTTGATCACATCCCCCAGAAACTCAGACACAGCACTAGCCAGCCCACTACCATCTCCTGGACTCCCTTAAAAGACAAAACAGGGCCTGGTGTGGTGGCACATGCCTTTTGTAAAGCAGAGGCGGGTGGAGTTGAAGGCTAGCCTGGTCCACATAGTGAGTTCCAGGCCAGCCTGGTCTACATAGTGAGTTCCAGGCCAGCTGGGCTACAGGGAGACCTTGTCTCAAAAATGAAAAAAAAAAAAGACAAAATGGAGTGCCTATCATCCCAGTAATTGGGAAATGGGGACAGGAGTTCAAGACCAGCGTCAGCTCTATATAGGAGTTTGAGGGCAACGTGTGCTACATGAGACTCTGTCTCACAAAAGAAAAGAAAAAGTGAAAAAGTTCTGTGTAGTGGCAGAAACAGACAAATCTCTGTGAGATGGAGCCCAGCCTGGTCTACACAGTGGGTTCCAGGCCAGCCTGGTCTACCTAGTGAGTTCAAGGCCAGCCTGGTCTACCTAGTGAGTTCCAGGCCAGCCTGGTCTACACAGTGAGTTCCAGGCCAGCCTGGTCTACCTAGTGAGTTCCAGGCCAGCCTGGTCTACACAGTGAGTTCCAGGCCAGGCTGGTCTACCTAGTGAGTTCCAGGCCAGGCTGGTCTACCTAGTGAGTTCCAGGCCAGGCCAGCTGGGGCTACAGGGAGACCCTGCCAAAACAAAAAACAAAACCAAGAACCAATCAAACAACAAAAAAAGCTGAACATGGTGGTACATGCCTTTAATCCCAGCACTGCAGAGGCAGAGGCAGAGGCAGGCAGATTTCTCTGAGAAGGAGGCCAGCCTGGTCCAAATAGCGAGCTCCAGGATAACTGGGTCTACACAGTGAGACCCTGTCTCAACAACAAAAAAACACAAATCAAAAGACAAAACTTCTTGCTCAGGCACCACCCTGGGTTTTGATCCCAGCATGCCGCTTTAGGACAGGCTCTAGAGGTTCAGACACTAATCTTGACCCCAGGGCCTACTCTAGCAAGTCCAGATGGGGCTAAGGCCCCGGCGGGGATGCATGCTGGGAGTTCAAGCCTCAGCATCACCCTCTAGGACCTAATGAGGGGGTATCCACATACAGCTCCTTACCTTTGCCCTCAAACTTGGGGTCCTGGAGGCTAGGTGAAGGCGCCCAGGCTGCTCCGGCAAGTAGGAGACAGAGGGGTCCGACTGGAGGCCACAGGGGCACCCCAAGGAAGTACCCCATGATGCAGCCCTAGCCCTAGGGAGCCCAGGGCTCCAGCCAGGCCGAATCCCCTCCACCCCTGGCACAGTCCACAGCTGAGTTAGCAGCAGCTGCCTCCACCCCGTCACAGCTGACCAGGCTCTTCCTGACCCGGAGCCTCCAAGTGGCTGCTCCCCCAATTCCCGGAGGGGGCGGTGCCTATGCGCAGCCTGAGGATAGATAAGCTACAGGCCTGGGGGTTGGGGGCGGAGGGCGGGAGCGGCTCTTGTGCCCAGTGGCTGCTTCAACTAGTGTGGGGAGTTGGGGATGGGGGGAGCCCGCAGTTTGTTTTTTTTTTTTTTTCCATCTTATGTAACAGTGAACAGGTGAGTTACCTTGGATCATGTCATCTGGAAAATCTAGCCTCGTGCAAGCTTTCAGAGCAAGTGTCCCACAAATGGAGGTTGCTGATACTGCTCCAGTCAGCAGTTTTCCCCAACCTCCCGAAAGAAATAATTATCATAAGAACGACTAAGAGTTGAGTAAGCAGGGCGAGGCTGTGTTGTGGGGCTGAAAGCATAGTAAAGGATGTTCTTTTTGTAAAATGATACATATTTGGAAATATGAGATTTCATTTATTATTTTAATTGTATTTATTATTTATTTATTTAATGTGTGAGGTTACAGGACAACTTGCAGGAATTGGTGCTCTCTTTCCACCATGTGGGTTCCAGGAATTGAACTGAGGTCCTCAGGCTTGGCAGTAAGTACCCTTACCTGCTGAGCCATCTCACAGCCCTAACTTTTTTCTGTTTTGTTTCTTTCTTTTTTGTCTGTAGACAGGGTCTCCCTAGGTAATCCTGGATGGGCTTGGAACTCCCAGATATCCACCTGCCTCTGCCTTCCAAGTGCTAGGATTAAAAAGGTGTGTGCCACTATGCCTGGTTTGCTTATTCTTTTTTTGAGCAGGGTTTGGTGTCACCCCGGACGGTCAGGAACTCACTATACAACTGAGGATGACCTTGAACTCCTGATCCTCCTGCCTCCACCTCCTAAGCTACTGGGATCTCAGAGGTATGTGCCAAAACACTGGGTTTACACAGTACTTGGACTCAAAGCCCTGCTTCTTGCCTGTTAAGAGAGCACTCTTCAACCTATGAGGGCGTTATTTTGGAAGGTGCTGGGGACCAATCCAGGACCTAAGGAAGGAATGCTGGGTAAGTGCTCTGCCGCTGAGCTACACCCCCAGCTCTTATGGCTCTTGGTCTTTCTTAGTTTTACATTCATCTCATGCAGTCTTGTGATTGAAATAAGGATCCAGGGAATCAGAGAGCCCCTGGAGGGGGAAGACAGGTATGTGTCAGTCACCCTCCTTCCGCTGTAGCAAGAAGTCACCAGGGGCGGCCGGGTTCATGGCGTAGAATACATTGGCACCATCAGGAATCAGAAGCTCTGTGGGAAGGTGGGGACCGAGGTGGGTAGCCTGCATAGTCTGGTGGCTCCAGGGACAGTCTTCTATTATTCAAAGGATTTCTCCCACATTCCTGAACCACTTCCCAGCTGCTGTGTCCATGAACATGGATGATGCCCACTTCCAGCCTGCTAAGCTCAGGGCCTACATATTCAATACCTGAACAACCTCACACAGATAATACTGTGATATTGCCCTGGCTAATTTTGGTTGTCAACCTAACACACCTGGGACGATGGCGCTTCAACTGTGGAATTTCCCCCCTCAGATTGACTTGTGTGGAATTTTCTTGATTGCTAATTGATGTATCAGGCCCAGCCCCACTGTGGGAAGTACCATCCCTAAGTCAGTCGGCAGGGTTATATAAGAAAGCAGGCTGAGCAGGCCAGGGGAGCAGCCAGTAAGCAGCATTCCTCCTTGGTCTCTGCTTCAGTTCCTGCCTTGAGTTCCTGTCCTGACTTCTCTCACTGATGGACTGTGACTTGGAAGTGTAAAGTGAAATAAATCTTTCCCTCCCTAAATTGGGTTTGGTTAGTGTTCCATCATAGCAACAGAAACCAAACTAAAACAT